AGTGCAAGTTGCTGCAGAACAGTCACTCCCTTAGTAAACAGCACCTCGCATCACAAAAGAAATTGAGTGGGACACCACATCTTATATTGTTGATTTTTATTTTTATTTTTTTATTTTTAAATTAATTTCAGGAAACAGGTGAAATTTCATTTACAAATCTCAAGAGCATGGAAACAAGTACCTACAGTCGTTCTGACTGAGCCACACAAAGTCCAGAAGTTTTACTTTCCTGAGTGATATTTTGCTCACTGCATCTACCTCAAAAAGACTCCCCAGCTCTTTCCAGTCTGACTTTTAACTTTAGCACAGGCTTTTGCCTTTGTCTAAACGCCCAGAGCACCATTGTGCATTGATCACTCATGATAGGCAGTGGGATTACACAACTGGATCTTGCCCAGAATACATGGCTTTTGTGGGTGCTGAGAGATGCAACTGTGCCATGTGTAAAGGAATTTCTGACCTCCTGTGCTTTGCCAAGTGTCATGCTGTCAAGGAGGCTCATATTTGCTTGCACTCTCAGCTGCTGACCTAGACCCTCACAACCTCCCTTCCCAGCACTGCTACTTTGCTCCCTCTTCAAGCTGCCTTTGAGTAAGCAACACCATTACTCACAACACAAAATACCTCAACATTTCTGAAAACTGACCTAACTAGGATTCAGGAAGCAGTGCTGAGAAGAAGCAACACTGCAGTTAACAACAAATAATGCAGTTTGTTTTGCTATGGTGAAACAATAACAACATGGGGATGCCATTGGGAACAATGGCAATTATGCAGCATGTCTCATTAGCACTGCCATATCATTATGCTTGATAAGATGCAATCAAAACTTTATTAGCAATCATCAGCAGCATCTATTATTTGTTGCCTAGGTCAAGTTAAGAAGAGAAGGCTGCATTCATATCAGAAACAGAATTCTGAGTATGGGGTTGGAAGGCAATTCCATGGCCACACCACACTGAATCGCTGGACAACCCACAGCAATCACATATCTCAGTTGCCCCAATTTATAAAATGAAAATAATACACACCTGTTTTTAAGAAATTCATGATGATTAACTTGCATCTGCAGTATTAGTTTCTCAGTGTCTACGAAATTAATGTTAAAATATTTGATTTTAAGATTGAAGAACATGCACATAAATTGCAAGTGTGCAATATGTGCACAGAATCACCTGAGGTTGCAAAATATCTGCACTCATATATTCATGCACCGACAGATCCTTAAGGCATATGGAAGCACATGCTCAAGTATCTGTTTTACTAAATGCTCTTTTTAACGGAGGTCTTCCATAGGCTAAATACATTGTTTAAAGATGTGTGTGGACTCTGACGTAAGCAGCATTGAAATGTAAAGAATCCTTACTACATACAATTTGTGAACATAGTTTTAGTATTTGAATTTGAAGTTTTAGTCTGGAACATCATTTTTTCATTAAGTTCATAAGGCCTAACATGACAACCCACCTGTGCCCTCAAGATATACTGTAATTCATAAACTCTTAAAATAAACCTGAACAGTGTTCTATTCCCTCCCACTAAGTTGCTTTATATTCAAGAAACAACCAATGTTATCTCTGTTTACTTCCCTACTTTGAGTCAAATAGCTGTGCAATTTAATCCTACATTAACAGTTAATAAGCAAATTAGCAAAGTATCAGAAATAGCTGACTACAGAAACACTGGTGTTTTCTAACTATACATTTCCACCAAGATTTATGCATTCATAAATGTTGTAACCAGAGATAACTGCTGCTAGTACAAAGTTGTTAAGACTTGCATTAACCAACACCATTTTTACTGTTCATTAGCTAACAGTAAGTTTCCAAGACAATATTTTGGCATCCCAATCCTGAAAGCTGACCCACATGAATAGATACAAGTCACCTATATAAACCAACAAAGCTCTGCAAAAGCACAGAAATTTGTCACTCAGCTCCATTTCTAAAAACCTCTCTTCTTTGTACGAAGGTCTCCACATCTCCACCAGAATGTACCTCAGGCTGTTTTTATTTTTTTCCTCTACCATTTGCATTACTCTGCAAAGTCTGCCTACAGCAACTAACAACCATCTCTGAACAAATAACCACCAAGTTACTCTTCCCTTCTCACTCCTTGTTCCAGAGATGGCAAGAAAAAACAACTGTGTGAGGGAGGAAAGAGGGAGTTGAAGTAGATACATGTTTTAGAGGAAGAAAAGAAAGATGTTTTTGCAGGAAATAAAAGGACTGATATATGCCAAGCTGTGATAATTTAGAGATTGGCGATATAAAAGTAGCAGATAAACAACGTTAAAAAATTAACCTGGTGGGGACTGACTGGGTTATAAAACAAGTTTATCTTCGCTTAGAGAATATTAACTGTCTGCTATGGTGCAGCTGTGAAAGACAGGAAGAAGAAAAACACAGGACAGAATCAGGAAATAATAGGACAGAGTCCATTCCCACTGGGGCACAGAAACTTCACCAAGATTAATGGTTTTTATCCACTGGCAAAAAAACCCTATGCCATTTTTCACACCCATTTTTACTGTATATTTGTTCTGATGCAAATGAGAGAAAAACAGGAGAGAAACAAACCAGAAAGCGTAAAAATAAACATATGCTTTGTTCCTTCTGGGCAGGATGCCAGCATGAGTAAAACACCATGTCATGGTTCTCCAAGCAAACATGGAGCTTCACCAATTCACACCCAAACTCGTAACACAGGAAAAAAAATACAAAGATTCCCTGACTTCAGAATCAGCTGCGTTCAGTATTTATTTTATTTTCTACATATAATGAGCTACATCTCAACAGAGACAGGCACTATTTGATTTTTTTTGCACCAGTTAGCCCTGTCTGCGCTTTTCTAAATATACAAACTTTCTAACTCACAATCTGACGTATCTGTGTTCAGCTTACGCACTCCGAAGGGCAGAGGCAGGAGGTGAACACAGAACATATCTAGGGATGGATCAGCTACCACCTCTTGCCCAACTACAAATCTTAGGTGCTTGTTTCCTTTCAGCTTTCCCATCCTAGTTTCCTAAACAACCAAAACATCTGGTAAATCCATTCCCCATAAGGAGAAAGCCCTGATTTTTTTTTTATAACGTGACGTAGCATCAATTTTATTCAAATGCAGTTCACATCAGTTCTTCTTCACACCAGCTGTCCGCAAGGTCTGAGCGACCTTGTTTAAAGCAGTAATGTTCTCAAAAGAAAGCAACATTATCTGAAGCCTGTTTTATGTTTATTTTTGAAAGAGTAGAGAGTTTATTTTGAGGAGTCAGGCTGGGTAAGTTTAAAAGACTTCCATGATAGATTGTACTGAAGCGTGGATAGCAAAACTTGAAACATATTGCATATGCTGCATAGGCTGGAGGCATTTAACAAGAAAGCAATATATGCTTACATAATTCTGATGGAATCTGAATTTCTATTTTGTTGTCTTATTTGCACAAGATGTTGGACAAAAACTAAAACAGAAACAAATATGTAATCAACTTCCCAGGTTGGAAGATTAAAGGATAAGAACAAAGGAACCACCAGTAACCCTAAAAAGCTCAATCCTGAGCAAATATTAAGTGCTCTCAAGGTACTGCAAAGATCTGCTGCTGCGATGAGAAATCCCACAAGAATAAAACAGCCTTCCTCAAGAGAAGTAACAAGATTGGTATGCACCATGTTCAGATCAGATTTTCTCACACAGATGCAAGGTAAGGTCTCTATACGAGCTTTTGGGAAAGCATGAAGCTTACAGGTACCAAAGTCACAATGTATTACAACACCCATTTGTTTCTAGACCTGAAGCTTACTGGCTACACAAGAAATTCTCAAGCATGTCTGCTGTCATTTGTAACAACTGCTTAGATATCCAGGCAGAATAATTCAAGAATACCTGTAGAGCTATAAATAACCTAGCAAAATTCCATTGCAAACACTGAAGCAACTTTATAGTTATTGATAACAGGGATATATTTTCAATTTTCAGGTCTACATAATGGGTACAGGAAAATCTCTTGTAGAATTTATATAGATACACAGAAAATTATACAGAACACAGAAAGCTTATCTAGCAAAAGAAAATGGACACCTGAGAAAATTTTAGGTGTTTGGTTTAAGAGCTGTCATTCAACACATGAGCACTTAAATAACTTTGAATAGGTTCATGCTTGCTGCGCTATAGTCATTCAGGTGGCACACAACTCTGCAAAGTAGGTACCTGTTAGCCATATACCTTGAAAAAACAAGTCATCTCAATATGCATAACCACAGAGTAATTACAGTAATTCATCTCCTGTCAGCAAGCTTGAAGCAGGTATGTTAGCAAAAAAAAAAAAAAAAAAAAGACAGCAGGGCAGGAAAGTACTGATCTTCATCTATGATGTTAAACTAACGTAATAATCTTACCCTAGCCTTGTTTTTGTGCTGATTAATGTTTGATAACACAATTTGTGCATACACAACAACAAGCATGTTGATGTTCTAGCTCACAAACGTTAAGAACGTGACAATCAATTTAGAAATCTTAATTGAATTACTGTATATTTCAAGTTCTCATAACGTACAACTTAGCCAGCACCAGTATTGTATTTCATCCAGACAATTGTGACTCCTTCCAAATCAGGGTTACTTATTACCCACAATACAGCACTCAAGAACTGCAAAAACTTCCAAGAGACACATGACAACACAATAAGGGACCGAACGTCTTCAGGTAACTTCAATGTAAAATTTCTATGAGAAAGAAAACAAACTGCCTCTTATAAAGCGGCACTGGGAAGGTGCTTTACACACTCCACAACTGTTTCTCTACTGCAAATTCATTTCGAACTCTTTCATACGGAACTGCAGGTCATTTAAAGAAGAAAATGAATACGTACTACTGAGACTCTGGGTCATACTGCCATATTAACATCAAAAAGTAGTTAGATGAATCCAGCAGCAACTTGTTACAGGAAGAGAGAGACAAACTCAGAGAAAAGATAGAAGTTATAGGAAAAGCATAAAATTTACCTCCACAAAGAGCTCTCCAGCACTTTTCCCATGTCAGTATGATAGTACTTGGTAAGGATCAGGATCACCTAAAAAGACAATAAAAACACGTTTATAAACATACACTGATAAATAAAACAGAGGTAGAAAATGGGCAGCATTACTCTTGTGAATATTGAGGTGAATTCTGAAAATCTGAACTGCATTTCAGGTTGGGTTTTTTGTTTTTTGTTTTTTTTCTTTTTGTTATTTGTTACTGGATTTACTTTTAGACTGACTGGATGGGATTTTTTTCCTCTTTCTGAGGAGAGTGATTTCAGCAATTGAAGCTTTCTGCAAACCAGGTGACTTTCACTTCACAGTGGAGTCGGAATGGTCACATAAATCCCTCTACCACATGACAGCCCCAAAGCAATCTGAATGACCTTCTCAGCAGAAAGAACCAAACTGGTTGCCAATTTAAGGGAGGCAACTGTCATTGACATCTATGGACACATTTATTTATTAGCTCAAAGTGTTAAACAATAGCAATTAACCTTGATTACACATATAAATTAAGACAGAAAATGAGTTTGGGTCTTCTCTACAAGATCAAAAATGTGTCTATAATGTCTGTAAATTTTTTATTCCTAAAAGTATTCTTCTCCTTTGAAGAACAGGCTTTGCACTCTGTAATTACTCATCAGGATTACCAGTATCTAAATACATATTAACAAATCCAATCCACAAAACATACACAGCCTACAAGAAAAGTCAGTAAGAAACAGATATTCCATTCATTCAGCATCTGACAAATTCACTGGTCAATGTCAAGTGTTAGTCCATGACTGATGTATCAAGCTGAGTGCTGTGTTTTATATTTAGATCACTTAAAACAGATTTCCCTCGCTTGCTGCCAGTCCATATTAGTGCTTCTTATCCCCAAGTTACCATAGCAACCCCACTGAGGTTGAATTGGAAGAACCTGTGGTTCTCTGCACAGCTGTTACATTTCTTTAATGCAGGGTCAACATCAGTCTCCAGCAGCTGAGACCATGCTGTTACTTAGCTGGCACTTCCCCTGTTCCTGACCACCAGGTGAAATCTCTAGCAAACAGCAACTTTAGGCATTCATTTGATTATCCAGACAATTAATACGCTAATGCCACATTTATGCAACAGTTCAAAGCTTGGGTCTATGTACACTGGAGATTGTAAGAGAATTCCAGACTACAGGTGCTACATACATGGCATCTTGAAAAACAACATTTTGCAAAACTGAACTAATGTATTAGTCACAGATTGATTGTAGCCTAACAAATTCATAACATGTATTGCTAGACGTATGTTTAATAAGTAAAAGCAGAACCTCATTAATTAACAAACAATATTAATCTCTCTTATTCTCAAAGGAAATGCATCTACCAGATGCTTTTTTAGGAATTTGATGAAAAGGCATTGTAAAAGTATAGCCTTGGTTTAAAATAGAACAAGACAAAAAATCTTACTTTTAAATAGGTTACTACAAGGCTTACAAAGCCAAAAGAAACATTTCCCAACTGAGAGGGAGTATCTACTGATGAGAGTCCTGGCCACAACCCAACCATGCTCCATCAGGTCGGCTATTTACTCTATTGTCAGCATCCCAACTACAGCATATTGCTGGTCCTTGCAATTAAGGAGAAAAAGAAAGAAACTTCACTATTGGGAGCATCAATTGGCTCTAATTATTAAGGAAAACATTTCAGATCTTGGCTTTTAGAAGACCTGAAATTCTTATGCCACAAAAATTGACCTAGGAAATTTTTTTTTTTTTTTTTTTAAAAAGAGATGCAAGAACATATTTGAGCTACATGAGATTAAAAAAGAAGAAGAGGGAAGATATGAGGATTTTTCATATTCATGAAAAGACTGAATTCTGAACTTACTAAGCCTATGTTTTTTATCTCTCTATGTCCTAAAACTGTAAATTTAATTCAGATCACTTACAGCGGTATACATTGAAACTACTCTACCACAGGGAAAGTCCAGTGTTTCATAACTGATTATTACCACACACAGAAGATCCTATCAGGTTACTCTCAACCTACCTGCTTTGAACTTGGAAAGATCAGCGAAGCACATTCACAATAAGCCATTTCTGTTTCTCAGTACCCACCCGTAACATTAAAGGACTCCACACAAAGAGTGCACTCATTGTAGTGTTTGCCAGCTCCAGTCCATCTATGTGCTGCACCCATCAAACCAAAAAACTACTGCTATTCAACATAATTCAAATGAAAGGTTTTCGGGTAATCATAAACTGCATTTGATAGCAGTCATACATAGGAAAATGCCTTCTTACACATCAAGATAGCTGCCTTCATCCAAGCCACAATTCTGAGAAGTAAATGCCATTATTTGCTTCTCTAACCCTAGTTCCTTGTATCAGGAATGGTGTGGTAAGCAAGAGTAGGGAAATAATCCTGCCCCTGTACTCAGCATTGGTGAGGCCTCACCTCAAGTATTGTGTTCAGTTTTGGGCACCTCAGTACAGAAAGGATATTGAGGTGCTGGAGCAGGTCCAAAGAAGGGCAACAAGGCTTACGAAGGGCATGGAGAATGTGCCCTGTGAGGAGAGACTGAAGGAACTGGGGCTGTTTAGTCTGGAGAAAAGAAGGCTGCTTGCTCTCTTCCAGTATCTGAAAGCTGCTTACAGCCACAGCGTGATTGGTCTCTTCTCACTGGTGATAGGACAAGGAGAAATGGCCTTTAGTTGCACCAGGACAAATTTAGGTTTGGACATTGAGAAAAACTTCAGGACCTATCAGGAAAGGGTTGTTAAGCACTGGAATCGGCTCCCCAGGGAGGTGGTTGTGTCACCATCCCTGGATACGTTTAAAAACCATTCGGATGTGGTGCTCAGGGACATAATATAGCGGAAGGTTGTTGGGGTACTATGGTTAGGTTGTGGTTTCACTTCACAATCTTCAAGGTCTTTTCCAACCTGAGCAATTCTACGATTTTACGGTATTCTACCCACATTAAATAAATACTCCAAAGAAAAAAAAAAAAAAAAAAAAATCAATCATTTCACAAAACTGTGATGGTCTTTGGGATCTCTGGATTCTGAGCATCATTTCTAAGAGCAGAGTCTTGTTTCAATGGTTTCATTTTAATGAGCCTCCACAATAGGAAGCATTTTTACCACTTTAATGGCAACCAACAGTTCATCCACACTTCTAATCTAGTGAAAGATTTCAGGTTTCCTGTAAATGGAGAGAGGCTCAAAGCACAATAGCAACTGAGTAACAGTATCATTCTTACCAGCTCGCACTACTGTTAGCCATGGACTGCTCAAATGAATGCAGCTAAACAACAATGGAGAATTAAATTCACCAGATTCTTAATTTAAAGACAGACTTAGAAAGTAACAGAGATCTCTTGATCAATCCCATCTCCTGTTTTAAGAAAAGAGTTATAAAGGTGTTTTAAAACATTTCATCCTTTAACAACACCAAGGACATTTTATTTGCCAACTCTAAAGGAGTAAAGCCTCAATAAAGCTTCATGACTGGAATTCTGTTTTGAGGGGATTTTTATTTAGGGATATTTGAATTCAGTAAATACAAATAAAAATAAAAATGTACTTTGGTCCAAGATGAATGACCCGAATGCCTGGTGCAGCCCTCTACTTCATTCTTTGAGCACTGTACACTGTACACTTCTCTTAGGAGCAGTCCTTACTGGGTCTTAAAGCTTTCTGATTATATTTCTATTGCTCAGATCCCAGCCTCTTCTGCCCCTTTCAGTACTGTTGAAGATCACTGCAGTTTCAGGAACACTGAAATAAACAGAACATCACATTTCCAGCTTCCTGTCAGCTTTCCTGCAAACAATTCAGGAGACTTTTCAGCTCTTTCTTTAAAAAGAAAAAAATCTTGTTTTTTGTTTGTTTTTTAATGCTTCTTGACAGGCTTACAAGAATAACGTCACACCATACAGATTAAAAACAGAAAAAGGAAAATTAAAATTTCCCGCTGCCATCACAAAAGCTGTGCCTCTTTATTAAAGCTGGAGCTGGCTAGTATTTCCCCACATGGGTCAAGGTTATAGAGGATAAATTTCTTGGGATTCCTAAAGTCTTAAGCAATGAGCATTCAAAGCAAGTTTTCAATGGAAATTCAGATATTACCATACCTCTACACTTTCATCCTTCCCACCGATTTGTTTTTTTTTTTTTCTGGTAAGAGGAGTGAGAAAGAGAGGCAGAACTGTGATTTGTCAGAGATCTCCCATACCAAACCTCCATTTCCCTAGCTGCTACAGCTCAAAGCTTTTCTCCAAACATAAGAGTTATAGTTTCTTTTCCAAAAATCTTTTGTAAAAACAAATCATTCTTCATGGCTAGACTAGGTTTTCAGTGAATGACAGACAGCTAAAGCAAAAGGAAAATTCAGAGAGTCACAGAACAGTTGGGGTTGGAAGGGACCTTTAAGATCATCTACTGCCAGACACCTGCTGTAGGCAGGGACACCCCTCCCCCTAGACCAGGTTGCTCCCAGCTCCATCCAGCTTGGCCTTGAATGCTTCCAGGGAGGGGACATCCACAGCCTCGCTGGGCAGCCTGTTTCAGTGTCTCACCACACAATTCTGCAGATAATAGTGTCTATGAATAATTGAAGCTAGGATTTTATCTTTTCTTTTTTGAATGCTTTCCTTCCCTCTGTTTCTCTTCTGAAAATGCTTTGCAGCAAGATTAGGCCAACAAGAGCTGCACTTCGTAAGAATCAGAAAGATCAACACAAGGGAACAGTGATACAGGAAGCCTTATAACAAAGAGACAAAATATCCACAAGAAAACACAAAGTACTCACCCACCTCTGAAGATCTAGGCTCCCAAGGGAGGGCTCTCCAACCACAGATCCTTCCCCCCTGGCAGTCAGCCCTTAAATGAGGTCTAAGAGAGGTGCAGCCAGGCTGCAGCCCTTCTGGTCACACAGCTGAATTGCCTTCACCTGTGCTCCCAGTGCTGACCAGGTCCTTTCCCCAGGTGCTCAATCAGTGGTTCAGGCTATGATTCAACAGTTGCCATACACACCTGCTCTTAAAGACATACAGTGTGCTTTTA